ATTTTTTTCCTTCTGCCACCACAATGGAGGACTAGCAGCTAGAGACACTAGCAAGACTACTGTGGTTACCTGTACATGACAAATGTCCATCCCCGAAGCTCCTCTTTTGAGAGAATTTAATTGACAACAGCAAGCACACTTGAGTGAAAACCCAGAGATTAAATGTAGGCTATTGTTTATAATATCATCAAGAGTCTGCAGAGCTGCTCAAATGCAAGGGTCTTGTTGAGATTGAAACAACAGGAGGCAACCAGTTATCTTTTTTGTAATTGCATCCTTGGTGGAGTGGCTGGCCTTAATGTATGTCACCGAAAGAATCTGTCTCTACAATTTGTCTAAGGCAGCTGGATGTAGCATTTATCTCACCACCTTCTGAAACTCCTACTCTGCACTCTTGTCTGTTGCTCTCCAAAAATTATCTGTTGTTTCTCAAGAGCAGAGGAAGAAAAACGCCAGCAAGAACAAGGTGAAAAACCAACCAAAACAGAACAAAAAGGGAAAAGAGAAAATAAAATAAATCCCTCTCAAATCTTAACAAGGCTTCAGTACAGAAGTAAAACTCGTTACTTTAAAAAACAAATATGTCAAATAAGAATAAAATTATTTCGATAAATGTGAATGGACTTAATGGCCCTCAAAAGAGAAGGAGGACTTTACATCAAATCTCTAAATTACAAGTAGATGTAGTATGTCTACAGGAGACTCATAAGAAAATAATTGCACTTTTTTAGGTTACCTGTTAGTTCCAACTCAAATCAAACTGGTTTAGTATGTTGATAATAAATGTTAAGTTAGTGGGTTAATTAATGTTGATGTATTTAAATTGGGTTTTTTTTTTTACTTTTTCAGTGTATGTATCACTGAAAGTATTTTTTCATAAACGGCAAAATAATTATTGTACCAGTATTTTGAATATGTATCAAGTTGAATAACTATTTCATTATAATGTTGAAAATTTAAATAAAATATTTTTAAAAAAGAAGAAGGAGGAGACACCAAATATCTCGCATGTAAAAAGCTAGGTAAAGAATTTATGGCTGCGGATAGGAAGAAGAAAAGAGGGGTAGTAATTTATGCTACCGAATATCTCTCCCCTGAACTTATATTAGCCACGGGAGATAGGAGAGTAGTGGCAACAAAAATAAGACGGCAGGGGAGGGAGAGTTTGATAATAAATATATACACCCCTAAAAGTTTGATAATATCTACATTATAGGAGACTATAATGCGGTCTTTGACCCCGAAATGGATAGGAAATCATCCGCAAAGAAAAATACAAAAGTAGGTCAGATTTTACAAAAAACTTTCCTTGACATGGCAGAAGAATATGGCTTAATTGATATTTGGAGAACAAGAAATAGAGTCAAAAGACTATACATAGTACTCTGCCAGACACAACTCATGGTCCAGAATTGACATGGCATGGATATCAGCCAGCTGGCTTCATGAGGTGTTGGAAGCCGAAATACTACCAAAAACTTTTGCAGATCATAACCCTATGCTACTATCGTTTAGAGAAGTAAAAAAGAAAGCTAGATGGAAATTAAATTTAGGCCTACTTAGAGATCGTGAGTTTTATAAAAACACCAAATTGGAAATTCAAGAGTTCTTTGAAAGAAATATGCAGCCAGAAATATTTATTGGAACTGTGTGGGATACTTTTAAAGCATTTATAAGAGGATAGTGTATTAGTCAGGAAGCATGGAGGAAGAAGAAAAGGAATGTAACATATGAGAGATTAGGGTTACAAATTAAAAAAGAGGAAAATAAACTCAAAAAATCTGGAACTAAAGGTGTCAGAGATGAAAAGAGAGTTGCTAATATTTTACCTATCCAGATGTGCAGAGGGTCCGATTCCAGGAGAACGTGAACGGCGAGCATATCATGATCAATAGGGGACCCAAATGTGAATCTGGGGGTGTACCTCTACATGGCACCCGTAGAATTACACACAGAGCGATGGCTGAGCACCATTTTTATACACTGGCAAGAGTGTCCTGGAGGGAGGATTGTGGCTTCAAAAACTAAGGACTGGGCAGCCATTTCCCATCTTTGACCAGGAGTTTTCCCAAACTCTGATCATAAGGGTGTGATGGCACCCTCTCGAGTATATCCTGGCTTGGAGGATGCTCTGTAGTATTGATGGCTCAAGTGGCTAAGATGCTGAACTGCAGGCTGTGGAAGGTCGGTAGTTCAGCAGTTCGAGACCCGAGTGTGCCGCATCACGGAGTGAGCCCCCGTCTCTAGTTCCAGCTCCTGCCAACCTAGCAGTTCGAAAGCAAGAAATTGCAAGTAGATAAATAGGTACCACTTCGGTGGGAAGGTAACAGCGTTCCGTGCACCTTGGTGTTTAGTCATGCCGGCCACGTGACCACGGAAACGTCTTCGGACAGCGCTGGCTCTTCGGCTTTGAAACGGAGATGAGCACCGCAACCCTAGAGTCGGATTCGACTGGCTTTTGAGCAAGGGAACCTTTACCTTTACTATATAATAACTTCAGAGTTGATAGCTTTTGGCAACCCAGGTGAATGGTCCCGGAAGAGAATTATAAATCTCTTACCCAGAGAAATGTTCTTCAGGAGGAACCACAAAAGACAGATGCAGGAGGAAGTTTTTACACTTCAGAGAGATGAAAGGAGTTTTTAGGGAAATAAGATTTCTACAGGACGTGCTGGTATGCTGAGAACGCTGAGAACTACTTGGGGGGGGGGGCATGTTGCACGTAGGCAGAATAGATGCTTCGTTTCCCACAATTTCCAGGCAAGCCCTTACGTTCACACGCGTGGCCCCTTTCGAGACTGCTCATAGTCTCAAGAGTCATGCCTTTTGTGGGTCCCTGGGGTAGTCCAGAACGCTCCCTCTAAGCCGTGGAGTCTCGTGAGCAAAAATTCCCATTTTGTGAGCTGCTGGCATTAAAGCGGTGAGCGAGCGATCTGGCCGCTTGAGCGAGCGATCTGGCCGCTGCATACATTAGTTTGCTCTGGAGCCCTCCTTCCTGAGCTGAGACAGAAATATGTGAGCCGGAGGCTAAAAAACTGTGAGCTAGCTCACACTGACTCAGCTTAGAGGGAACACTGCTTCCAGAGATGGGGGTGCCTGCTTATATGTGTGTGTGACAGGCTGCCCTCTATCCGGGTGGGAGTTACACAAGGTACGTCCCCATGCAGATCCAGGGAAAGAACATGGAAAATGTAACACAGAGTTAGCCCCACAGACAGGGCTGCCAAGCCCCTTGAAGGGGTGGGGCATCCCCCAGACCCAGCTCCCATTGGCTGCTGCCATTCCAAATGGTGGTGGGTGGAAAAAAAAAAGGAGCAGCGTGTCAGGCTAGAGTTGCCTTGCCAGTCCCCAGCTGGGGGCGGAGGATTCCCAGTTTTGCGGACTGCTGCCTGCCGCCGGCCAGCTGACTGGTAGGAGGAACCCTCCCCCCCAACTGCAATGTGGAATGAGGTACCTACATCACCCAGAAGTGATGGAGGCACATTGGAGGGGGCAACGCTCTGGTTTTTGGGCAAAACTCTATGGTTCGAGGGTGATTTTTAAGGACAAAAAAAATGGGGACAAAAAGGGGGGGGGGCTGTGAAGGCCAAAACGTGTTAGGTCTATTTCATCAGCCTCTGCATTTTTATATTTGTATATGAGGTATGAATGGGCCCTTATTTGTTATTTTAATTTGTGTTTAATAAATACATGTATATTTTTGTATGTTTTATAATTAGGTTTTTAGAGTTGGTTCTCTTCTATTCTTGACTGACCTTTTTAGGTTCTGAATTCGAGGGTGATTTTACCATCGTTTTGCCCCAAAACCAGAGCATCGGCCCCGACGTGCTTACGTCACTTCCAGGTGACATAGGCATGGAAAGCGATGTCACTTCTGGTGACATCGACACATTGGGGGCAATGCTTCCAGCTCCCGGAGCACCCCTACTCTTCCCGCCCCTTGCCGGCATCTCGAAGGGACCTGGCACCCTTACATGAGGCACTATGTTATGTCTGGTGAAAATCCCAGAAGCGACAAAGGGTAGCTCCAGGAATCACTGGAAACTCTATAGTTTTACCAGCGATTCCTAGAGCTACCTTGTGTCTCTTCCGGGTTTCTACTGGAAGCGGCGTTGTGCCACAGACGGCATTGTGAACCTGCCCCCGTGTCCCTGCCCTCGACCCTCCCACCAATTGTGAGAAACTTCCTGGCAACCCGACCCACACACAACCCAAAGCAATTTCACAATTTGCCACTCTAGTTGTGAATAAGGATTTCAAGAGTTGCTCCGAAGAAGAAGAGGAGGAGGAGAGATTGGATTTATACCCCGCCCTTCACTACCCAAGGGAGTCTTAGAATGGCTTACGAACTCCTTTTCCTTCCCCTCCCCACAACAGACACCCTGTGAGGCAGGTGGGGCTGAGAGAACTCTGACAGAAACTGCTCTTTTTTCAAGTACAGTTGTGCCAGAACTATGGTTTGCCCAAGGTCACATCAGCAGCTGCAAGTGGAGGAGTGGGGAGTCAAACCTGGTTCTCCCAGATTAGAGCCCGCGCATTTAACCACTACACCAAACTGGCTAGGTTGCCAGTCTTTTCTGTATCTGCTCTGGCACCAGTAGATATGAACAGCATCCAGCTTGCTGCCCTTTTGATTCTTTAACACACATACTCAAATGCTGATTCCGACAAAAAGAACGTATTGTGCATTCAACCATTCAAAACCACACTATGCAGCGTACTTTTGTGAATCTGCTACATTGTATAGTGTAGTTGAAGTGTGTGTTAAAGGCGTTCAGAGTCCATATAATGTTACCCAACGACACTTTATATTTTGTAAAAATGTATTCTGTGTGTATCATATACCATTTACATATCGCCACTTTGCTTATTGGCAATTTCATGGTTCGGTTTGTTTCTTGCTAGAGATTTAACCGCAGTCTTCTCCTCGTAGTGCTCGTTCCGTTTGATTCTGGCTTCTCCGTCTCCCTGAGCAACATGATACTTTCTCTTCCTCCCAGGATTCGGACCTGGCTGGCACCTGGAATACGTTGAGGTGGAAGACTCTCTCATGGATAAGTCCTTCCGTTTCCAGTGTGACCGCTGGCTGGCTAAGGGCGAAGACGATGGGCAGACCATCCGAGAACTGGCTTGTGCCAACAATGACATCCTGGAACTGAAGGAGCGCACCAGTACGTCTGACGGCATGGCTTGACTGGGGGAAGGGTGGGGAAGCCACACGGGCAGTTTATGAAACCAAGCCCCACTCCAGGCATATCACTACTTTACTACAAACATTTATCGCTAAGAGCATTGGCCATTACAGCTGTGGATAAATGCGACCCCCAAAAAGGGAGAAAAACGCAACCCTATACGAGAAAGATAACCAAAAAGCTTGAGACAACCCCCTGCAAAGTATAGCTACATACATAGTGCTAATCTACAAAATATCATATATAATTTAATTATACATTCAAAAGTGCTAAAATACCATTTTAAAACCACAGTCCTATGGTTCTGCACATGAGTACCTAATCCTAATACAAAGACAAATGTCCAATCATATAAATACAGGTTAAAAGGTGCAAATTATGCTGTCCCTATAGATAGTATCCCCACTCTGGAGGAGGAAGATGTTTTCTAATCTGTTATGTTACTGGCTGAGTTATGTTTGACAAAAAAGTATTTCGTTTCAAGGACAATTCTTTTGGCAGATCTCAGGTACAGCCATGGGGTGTAAATTTGCCACAGAATTAGCAGACTTGTTCATGGACAGATTAGAAAAAACCTTCATCCTCCAGAGAGATAATAATATCTACAGATATCCTATATAAAAGGTATTTGGATGATATCTTCATCATTTGGAAAGATTCAGAGGAGCTCCTTATCATAAGAGCATAAGAACATAAGAGAAGCCAATGCTGGATGAGGCCAATGGCTCATCCAGTCCAACACTCTCTCACACAGTGGCCAAAAAATACCAGGTGCCATCAGGAGGTCCACCAGTGGAGCCAGGACACTAGAAGCCCTCCCACTGTTGCCCCCCCCAAGCACCAAGAATACAGAGCATCCCTTGCCCCAGACCGAGAGTTCCTATCTATACCTTGTGGCTAATAGCCACCGATGGACCTCTGCTCCATATGTTTATCCAATTCCCTCTTGAAGCCATCCATGCTTGTAGCCGCCACCACCTCCTGTGGCAGTGAATTATCCAGTGTGGGCAGTATATTAACACGACACATCACAATATTAAATCTGAAATGGTGTATGACAGGTCTAGGATTATCTTTTTAGATGTTTTGGTTAAAAAGGAAAGTATTGAATTACATACTGATGTTTTCAGAAAACCCCACGTGATATTTTCCATCTTTATCACGTGAAGAGAAATCTACCTTTTTCTCAGACATTAAGGATTAGAAGAAATTGCAGCCATGATAAAGATTTTAATGGACAAGCCAACGTCCTTATGGAATAGAGGATAGAGAACATTCTTCCAAAATTCTCAAACAAGCCCTTTATAAGGCCAAGAACACACCAAGGGAATCCTTATTGACACCTAAGATTTGCAATAACAACACAGAGAGGATAATCATTCCATTAACTTATGATGGCGCTTATACTGGCATGAGGAATATAATTGAAAAACATTGGTCCCTTTTGTCTGAGATCCCTTGATATAGATCAAAACCTCTATCTACTTTCAATAGAACTAAAAATCTTAAAGATATGTTGGTCAGGTGTATACTTGAACATATTTCAGACGATACTTGTTTTTCTCCTTCCTCCCCCCCTCCCCACAACAGACACCCTGTGTTAGATTTAACAAGAAGAAGAAGAAGAGGAGATTGGATTTATACCCCGTCCTTCTCTTGGAGTCTCAGAGTGGCTTACAAACTCCTTTCCCTCCCCCTCCCCACAACAGACACCCTGTGAGGCGGGTGGGGCTGAGAGAACTCTGACACAATCTGCTCTTTCAGGAGCAGCTCTGACAGAACTTGTGACGGACCCAAGGTCACACCAGCAGGTGCAAGTGGAGGAGTGGGGAATCAAACCCGGTTCTCCCAGATTAGAGTCCACACACTTAACCACTACACCAAACTGGCTACCCAGAGGAGTTTGTAAACCGCTCTGAGACTCCTTTGGGTAGTGAAGAGCAGGGTATAAATCCAATCTCTTCTTCTTCTTCTTCTTCTTCTTCTTCTTCTTCTTCTTCTTCTTCTTCTTCTTCTTCTTCTTCTTCTTCTTCTTCTTCTTCTTCTTCTTCTTCTTCTTCTTGTTAAATCTATTGAGGGCTCACTTTGATTTTTACCACCAAGGAAGGCTTTTAGCCGAAATGCGTTGGATGTCGGTTCTTGTATATGGATATAATTTGTACCTTTTAATCTGTGTTTATGTGATTGGACATTTGTCTTTATATTAGGATTAGGTGCTCATATGCAGAACTACAGGACTGCGGTTGTAAATTATATTTTTACATTTTTGAATGTATAATTAAATTATATATGATATTTTGTACATTAGCACTACGTGTGTAGCTATATTTGGGGGGGGAGTATTGTCTCAGCCTTTTTGGTTACCTTTATAGCTGAAGAAATCCAGAGTTGTGTAATTGTTTTGGTGGTGAGACTCTCGCTCAAATCTCTCCCCTGCCATAAAGCTTTGCTGAGTCAACTTGGGCGGTCACTCTCCCTCAGCCTAACCTACCTCACAGGGTTGTTGTGATGGCACGGGTGGGTGAAGGAGGTACACTCCCCTGAGTATAGTGAATAAATTTATTTATTTATTTGATTTATATACTGCCCTCCCCGCGGACAGGTTCAGGGCGGTTTACAACAAGCTTAATATAGTACCATTAAAACAACCATTAAAATACCATTTGAAACAATGAAATCCTAAAATACCGAGCAACAGTATCTGATACCAATCAGATTATTTAGAATTCGGCAGTACCCCAATATTGGGATCTGGGCCACTGGAGAGGAGATAGCCAGGAGGGAAGAGGGACTTCCGCCATCTCAACCAAAGGCCCGGTAGAAGAGCTTCATCTTACAGACCCCATGGAAGTGTAGTAGATCCTGCAGGACCCTGATCTCACATGGGAGCTCATTCCACCAGGCGGGGGCCAGGCTGAAAAGGCTAGTCAGATGTCCCTGGGGCAGGGGGCCGCTAGAAGATGTTGATTTGCAGACCTCTGGCTTTAGAGCTGAAGCATTGTTCCTTCCTTCTTGGTTTCCAACAACTGCTGGAAAATGTCCCAGTTTTGCCTGGCTTTGGGACCTAATCAGGGCTCCTTTTATAGATAAAGCCCAGCAGGAACTCATTAGCATAATAGGCCACACCCAACAGCAGAAACACATTAGCATATTAGGCCATGCCCAGGACAGCACAGCTCATTGGCATATTAGGCCACACCCCCATGCTACCAGAAGTGTGCTCATCCAGCCACACCCACCTTTTGCTTCTTATTCTGCTTACCTTGTTTGTTGTCAAAACCCAGGGCTTTTTTGTAGCAGGAACTCCTTTGCATGTTAGGCCACACACCCCTAATGTAGCCAATCTGAATGAGTTCCTGCTGTTGGGTGTGGCCTATTATGCTAATGAGTTCCTGCTGGGCGTGGCCAACTCGGGAGCCAGCCGGAACTCCGTTCCTGTGCGTTCCTGCCCCAAAATAGCCCTGGACCTAATATAAGAGAGATTCCATCCCTCTTTGGGCCTGTTTCAAATTTTTATAAGTTTTTGTTGTTGTTGTTGTGCTGTTTTCTCAGTTTGTGTAAAAATATTCATATGTTCATTTTTGTGGTTCTAAACGACTCTCATGTAGGCTCATGTAGGGAAACCAACATAAAAAAGATGTGAAATGGATACATCTCACCTCCTCTTACCATTCAATGTGTCTTCTCTTTTGCCTTCCAAGCATACGAGGTCCTAACGATGACTACTGATCTGGAGGATGCAGAGACCAAGGAGAACATCTGGATTATTCTCGAGGGCAAGAAGGGACGTTCCAAAGAGTTCCTGTTGGAGAACTCAACCAAAAAAAGGAGGTTTTTAAGGTTGGAACAGAGTTTCTTTCCTGTACGGTCAAAGTACATCACCTACATTTTATCTCAGCAATCCTGACATAGAGCCCACCAAGGTCATGGTGGAAAGTGTTGTCAAGTTGCAGCCAACCGATGGCGACCCCATAGGGTTTTCAAGGCAAGAGACTTGAGAGGCGGTTGGCCATTGCCTGCCTTTGCACAGCACCCTTGGTATTCCCCGGTGGTCTCCTACTGAAGTGCTAACCGGGGCCGACCACTAAGGTAGGCTGCCAAAGTTATGCCTATGCTACAGATGTGGGAATGGACTCTGAAAGGTTTTGGCTTGCCTGAAGCTATGATGACCAGGAACTGGGAGTATAAATTCTAAAAAGGAAAATAAAAGAGGAAATGTTTTGAGGAAATAGGCCATTCATTTCGCAACATCTGTATTAGAGCAAATAAGTTTCACATGCAGAACAGGATAATTCCTACTGGACTATCCCATGATTTTGGAGTGTCCTGCTATCATCTATCTATCTATCTATCTATCTATCTATCTATCTGTCTGTCTGTCTGTCTGGCTGGCTGGCTGGCTGGCTGGCTGGCTGGCTGGCTGGCTGGCTGGCTGGCTGTCATCTATCTATCTATTATCTATTATCTTCCTCGGGAGGTGGTGGATGCTCCT